AATGTGACCACAAATCAAGGAATGCTGACAGCCACCAGAAGCTGAAAGGTGAAGAGTGGATTCTTCCCTAGGGCCTCCAGAGGGAGTGTAGCCCTCCCAAACTTCTGGCCTCCAGAACAGGAAGAAAAATTTCCATTGTTTTAAGCCACCAAGCTTGTGGTAATCGTTACAGCAGCCACAGGAAACTAATATACTGGGTATGGTGACCTACTAAGCAGTGCTGAGCCAGAGGTGTTCTCTTGAGCTGGAGAGTGACGTTCTTTCTGTAATGATCAGGTATTACTTTTTTACAATGAGGAAAAACACACTAAAGTTATTGTAATATGCTGAAAAGAAATGTTCATTTGACAGTTTTTTGCAAGATGGATTAACTAGGGAAATGAGGGTGGAAAACGAGAAATGGTAAGGAGACCCATTGGGAACCTATTGCAATAATCTGTGAGTAGGGCCCAGACTAATGTAGGTGGTAGAAATAGACAGGAAGAGCTAAATCAAAGATTTTATAAAGGAATAAACTGGCATGACTTCAGTGGGTGGGCATGGAGAGTCACAATAGTAGCAGAAATTTCAAGGAAGCATAAAATGAAAAAGCTCGATACCTAACCTCCTCTCCACTGCTCTCCATCAAGTGCCTAATGTCACAGTGTGTTGGATTGAATGAATGACGACATAGCATCAATATAGCAGTGCGTATAAAGCACCTGTCAGTTTTGGAGCCTTTTCAGGGAATTATATGTTCAGGTTAGTGAGTCATACCTACCCTTGGAGGGGAATAGTCATGCTTGATGATAGTGAGTTACCTTGTGACAAGTCACAATGATGCAAATCAGGGGACTTGGGTTGTAGACCCTGCTCTGACATTGAAAATCTCTGGACTAAAATATTGTCATGTACGAAATAAAGAGATCACTGTGCATATCTCTCTTTCACTCTCTCTCTGTGTGTGTGTGTGTGTGTGTGTGTGTGTGTGTGTGTACACCACCAGCAACACTCCTGTATATAGTGATATTCTGCCATTTATAATGTTACTGTCCATTTCATCTCTGCTGTGTTTCATGAATCTAAATACGTACATTAAAGGTAAGGACCCTATCTTCTTATATTAATATTCCTAGCACTTTATAGTGTTTGGGACATAGTGGGTGTTCAGTGAATGTTGAATAAAGGAATTACTTTTCCCCCTCTTTACCTGAAAAAGATGAGGATGACGGGGTTCACCTCACCTGGGTATGAGATACCATGAGATGACTACCTGTAGAGTGCCTAACTCAAGGCCTTGTCCACTGTGCGTGTTCCCTCCCTGCACACGCGGATTTAGCTCTGAATTTAAGTTTTTGTTGTATGTTCCTAAAAAGCTAGAAGTAAAATAATCCAAGAACCTTTGGAACAGGATTTAATCTGGCTTCCTCATTTTAAGAAGCCCCTAAAGAGCATGCAACTACAATCGTGTCTCCTCTTTCTGCGAAGTTAAACCTGTTGGCTGGGAAGCCTGTGCCATCCACACTCGGGCCTCCGAAGACTGGTTTCTGAGCTGTCTTTGTAACGGTTAAATTTAGAATGATCAGGAACTCCCTCTTGGCTAAATTTAGTAGTTTTTTTTCTTAAATCCCAGCCTTGTTAGACATGTAAATTAGAAACAGTTAAAAATCATAAAATACACAGATGAGAAAAAAGCTTCCTCGCAAGAGAAATAGGAGAGCGCAAGGGGGCAATGTGGTTATCGCTGAGTTTGTGAAAACTTTATGAAACATTGGTAAGAATGATTTTTGGCCCAGAAATAGTTAAGGAATCGGTGAGGTTGATTTCAGTTTTAGTTTCTGGTTCCTAGTTGCTAATTAACTTCCCCTGTCCATCCCCTAATCTTTATGCTTATGAAATCTATAAAGTTCAGTTGTTAACACTGTAGTTGGCAACTAGTATAGTAACCTACATTTATATAATACCTTTTTATTTACAAAGTGCTCTCACATTATTATACTACTTAAAATTTACAATAATTCTGTGATGTACTTGGCTCTCTTGAAAACTGGTACATTAATCAGATTTTAGTAGGCACCAAAACCCCAAAATTCAGTCTGTTACTAAAGAAAAATTAAGCTAGAGAGGTGGTGGTTATGTGGTTTTAAGTAATTTTATAGGAGATGACATAAAATACAGGAACCCTGGATTCATTTATTATGCCTTTTGTAATTTAAAAAAAGGAATAACATAGTTCCAATTTAAATATTTTGCTACCATGAAAACTAAACAAAGAGTTATAACTTTTGTTTGATTTTTATGAGTGTGCTTGGTTTGTTTCAAAAATCAGTGAAGTCTATGAAGTACTCTCTGTTCTCTTGCTGGCTTCTCAAAGGCAGCCACTCCTGAATTAATTAAAAACAGCAATATATGAGGTATTGGATTATAGTGTTACATGATGATTCATTGTACTACATAAAGAATAGATATGATTACCGTTTATTTCACTATAGATATGCATTTATGCTGTAAATAAATTCCTTTTTAAAAACTGTAGCAATAGAAAATACATTTTGTTTTAATGTAGGGTGATTTCAAAATATTTTATTAAAATTGTGCATTGATGTGATATAAGCATAATCCAAAATTTAGCCCATAGTAGTATTTGGATCAACTTGTCATCCTGCAATTGTTCATCAAAAAAATTTTTTTTTCTTTTTTTATGATATTATTGGGGAATTGGGGGAGAGGAACAGACAAGTTGCTGTCCTTTGGTTCTTTAGTCTAGTTGTGGAGGACATCGCTTCACTGGCCCATGTTGGTATTGTGATCATTGCGCTCTTCCCAGCTGAGGCAGTTGCTCGCTCGCTGGCCATTGGACGGCTGCTCAAGGCGGCTCACGACAGCTCACGCCAGCTGCTGGCCAGCCCCACTGCAGCCTACATACGCCGTTGCCAGCAACTCATGGCAGCCCAGCTCCAGGTTGAGCTGTTGTTCACCATCTTAGCTGTAGAGGACACAGCATCACTGGCCCTCATGTGGGATCCGAACCGGGGTCCTGCTTCTCAGAGCTGGTGTCCCAAGCCAACTTCTAACCAAAGCGCCACTCAGCTGGCTCGTTAATCAAATATTTTGACTGAGGAAAAATTTCCTGAGACGTATGTTGTTATATTGGAATAAAGACATGATGCTGCAGAATAGAAAAGCTTTAAAAGACTAGTTTGTTTTTTTTTTTAGCTGAGCCATCCTGCTACCTGTTGGCAGCTCAGCAGCTGCTCAGCTCGGGCTGGACTCAAACCGTTGTTGCTCAGAGCTCAAACTCTTGAGCGAGCTCTTAACCAACTGAGCCACTCGGCTGGCCCCTAAAAGACTAGGTTTTAAATAGTTGAAACTAATTTGGGAGTAGTACTAAAGCAGCTAACTTTTAAGATGGGAAAAAAAGGGAAGATTTTTTTTTTCCAAAGCCTAGGGGTATTCGAATTTCATTTCAGAGCCACCCTCTAAAATGCTAGATGCAATGGTGATCCACCATGTTATGACATAGGGTCTGGTAAACGTGGCTGATCCACATTCAAAGTGTGGTTTTCTTGACCGAACCATTATACTTAGTATTGATCTGATCTTTGTAGGGTACTGGGTGTTGTTGGTATATGATATTAATAGTTGGTATATGATATTAATAGTGATTACAAACAAAGAAACAAATCAGAGTTTTTATATCCCAACGAGTATTGATTGATCCTCTGAGTTTTGTTACCTGGGAAGGTTTCTACATTTATTCTAATGATTTGCCAGTGTTAGAGTTTTGCATCTTCTTTTTTAGAATTGCCACTAAAGCCTCAGCAACATTCCTTTCAGTGTGCTGAAGTTATGACATTTTTATTCTCTGAGGGTAATTTTCAGAGAGAACTGGACATCATTCAGAACCTTGTCAGATAAGCAAAGTGGATAATCAAATTGTTTGGGAATTTAAAGAAACATGTACTGCTCTAAAATAAAGTATGCTCTAAAGGCATATTGTATTGTGGCTTATAAGAAAACTGGCTCCAAAAGCATTTTCCAAAAAAGCTTGTTCATTGGAATAAATGTACCCCCTTTCAAGGTGACCACTTTAAAGAAAACTTATTTGATATATAAGTTCAGGTTCATGTATTTAAAAATTCATCATCTTTACCTCATAGTTACATCTTGTATAAGAACTTGGAGGAGGTTCCAAAGCTAAACAATGAAGAAGATTAAATTACTTTTCCAGTGACAAAAAAATTGTGCCTATACAAGTAAATGAATAACAGGGATATTGAGAGGATATCTTATGACATCAGTGGGAGCAGGTAGAAATCTACTGAGACAGTCTAGGGTTATAATTATAGGCCTCCAAAGGCAGGAGAGAATTATCCTGAAGATTTCAGGGACTTCCTGTGTGTTTCTTTGAGCTCAACAAATTTGAAGAGGGTATTTATAGCCCAATTTCTTAGGATTCATATTTATTTTTATATATACATAATTTTATGTACAAATTTTATATTTTTTCTAATTGTAAACATTGAAAAATCATAAAAAATACAGGTAAGAAAAAGCTATTTATAATCACACCTAGCAGAGAAATCCTTGTTGACCTTTTGTTAACATCCTTTCTTCTATATGTTGTTTTATAATGTGAGATCATACCGAACTTACAGTTTTGAATATTGATTTTTTTACTTATTTTCTCAAGTCAATGAAATTTACTTGTGAACAAAATATTTAGTGGCAGTCTTTTAGTATTTTATTACCCACCTAAATATAATTTATAAAGTTTACATTAAACTGTTATTGAAGAAATAATGAAAAATTACATTATTTCTTCTCTCACATTCATGGTATCAAAACTGTCAAGAAAAAATTATGAAGCAAAGACTCAAGGCACTTGATGTGATTATGCTGAGTTCCATAGGCTTCACTTATTTATTATTTGTAAATGTTTTCCTTGCTAATAGGCAGCTGTAGTCACTTTCCTAGACTCAAAACTAAGAGGAAAATGTTATTTATTCTCTTTCTTGAAGGTTGTTGGAGGCAAAGTAAAGAAGCCTGGCAAACGTGGTCGGAAGCCAGCCAAAATTGACTTGAAGGCAAAACTTGAGAGGAGCCGGCAGAGTGCAAGAGAATGCCGGGCCCGAAAGAAACTGAGATATCAGTATTTGGAAGAGTTGGTATCCAGTCGGGAAAGAGCCATATGTGCCCTCAGAGAGGAACTGGAAATGGTAAGAAAGTCTGTCAATAAACGCATGAAGAAAATCTACCTTAGCTTAGCAGTCAAAGACACATACATTTTTTTTTTGACAGAATTTATTTTATTTTATTTTATTTTATTTTTTTATTGTTAGTTTCAGGTGTACAGAACAATGCAATAGTTACCCTTTTCACCCTCACAAAGTAACA